TTTCCCCAGAAGAGGAGGAGGGATGGAACAATGCTCATCTGGTCACAGCAACTCCATCACAACACAGGGGAGACAGAAGAGGCCAATCTAATGACAGATATGAAAGGCTTTGCTGGATTTCATGCAAGAATCTATCCCCCATAGGACAGAACTGCAGTTAAGTTTATGATGGATTCATTCCTAGAACTGGCAGCCAAAACCACTGGGTCATTTATATTTGCCCTCTCAAACATTAGGTCTGTCACCTTCCCCTCAGTCATGAGGATATGACTAAGGGGAAAGGACAAAACTAAGCAAGTGTTTGTGAATGTTATCTGTGTCCATGTTTTTGGCATGTATTCTTGCTTGGTCAATGCTGTCTCAGGTACTTATATCCTCCAAGGCACATGTACAGCAGATATTTCAAATACACTATTTCATCAAAATGCAGAGAAGTATTTTTGTGTGTGTTTTTGGTTTTTTGTTTTTGTTTTTTTTAATATTAATTTTTATTTTTAATTGCAATCAGACATAAAAACCACATCACCTTTCAAAAATATTTTTTGGGCTGATAATCCTTATTTATGAGCTTCATTGAAATCCCCATAGCAAGTGAGGGAAAGGGACTTCCAGTACTGTTAGAAAATACTAGAAAAATCTTCAAAAGTACATCAAAATCTTGCTCTGATGCAGAAGTAAAGTAATCATGTGTCTGCAGTCAGGGTTACCTGAAAATGCAGCGAGTACCAAAATGGATCAACTAAGGCCACCAAGGAGCATGTTTTCATTGCTGCCAACATGGACTTGATTCCAACAGTTTACATGACCATTCTGCTGAGCTTCTTAACTTTCCTGCTGAGTTTCCTTTGAGGCAGAAACATCATTTTGCCTAAAACTGGGGACTCCAATGGTAATTTGCAATTTTTATCAGCAAAAGCATCCAGTGAGTGCCTGTATGATTGGTTTTGGCTCCTAGTGATTTTCTCTATTCTTGATGGACCAGCAATGTTGCTAAAGGCAGATTTGCTCCCCTTCCATCCCCGCTCTCCCTGACAAGTGTAGGTACAATGACAAGATTTTCATCAAAATATTTACTTTATCAGTTGGATTGTCTGAGGACAACTGAGGACTTTCCGTTGGCAGTGGCATCAGCCATGCAGGGGCTGCTCATCACTGATAGCAGATCCAGAGTTTTATCCTTTAATACTGATGTCACATGGCACACTTTTACATCCGTGGCTTTAGATGACAAGCAAATGCAGAGTGAAAGTAAAAATGGAAATGTGCTGAGATGTATTCAGTGCAAAACTTCTATCAGATGTAACTTTGTTTGCATTTCTAAACAGAGAAGCAGAGAAAAATTCATTTTGTATATACACTGAAGGTCATCCTTCTTCTAGGAATCATAATGTATCTACCCCCCCAAAATACTCCTAATATTTCTAATGACTTTAGCCCTTATTTATTTGAGCCTAAATTTATAGCATGCTGAATCAATGTTGAACAAGAAGAAACATAGCTGTGTGCAGGCTGGAGTAGCTCCTGGCAGCAAAAATTACCAGAGCAATTAGCCAGACACAAATCTAAAAGGTCACTTTGTTGGAAGAAAGTCTTTGAAATTAATGACAGATCTAAAGTTTTTGAACTCTCATTACCAAACCAGTTTGTGAATTCCCACAGTGAAATTTTAAGTCAGATTAAAGTCATCTGTGCTTCTTTTTCATTCAAAACCCAGAAGCAATACAATAAATTGAAACTGAGGGGTGTGAGGAACATGAACTCATATATGCTGCTGTAGTTGCTCAAAAGTCTCCTACAGAAACTTGAGAAGAACACAGCACCCAGTTTCTTCACAGTACAACATACATCTTCTACACTGGTAGCTCCACTGGTAATATCTAGGGTAGCTATGGATCAATAGGCTGGACAATAAGGAAATGCCTCGACTGCCTGTTTTTCCAAGAGCCATGGAACACTCCTAATCATGTAAAGACATATGATAGCATTTCAATGATATCTGCATCTGACATGGTTGTCCTAAGCTCTTTTAAGACAATGAAGAGAAAGGAAGACAATTTTATAGAGAATGATTCATGGCTGCTGCCTAAAACGGGGCCACCAAAGAAAGGTTTAGCAGCATCTATCTCTCTGTGTAAGAGACTGTAAAGGTGACTCAGAACCTCATGTGGCTCAGATGTTCATGTCTACAGCTGGATGAGGATAGTTGTTACTATAGGACACTAGACAACACAACGCAGACACGTTGCTGCTCTTAAGGCAGGAAAAAGGGAAGTTTATTTTCTGATTCTAACATTTATAGATTTCTAAAGGTGACAGTGGATTGGAGGGTGAAAGTGTCACTTCTGCAATGACACTGGACAAACTAACAGTCTATCAAATTTCTCTTCTTCTATAAAAGAATGCAAAACAATAAGTTGTTTACAGAAAGTGTGTGAGAAAGTTTGTTACAAAAATGCAAACATCAGAAGGCTTAGAAAATCTTAAAAAATCAGGGCAACACACAGTCCTGCCTCAAAAGCCCAAGAAGTGCTTTGGAAGGTCTGCATGGATGCACGTTACCACTGTCACTAGAGACCTTCCAAAGGAAGGCTAAATCTTCCATATTGCTGCAGGCAAATAAGAGGTCTTGTTTTCACTTTAACCCCAGATCAGCACCTGACCATGGGAAGTCATCAGTAGGCATCAGTAGCAGGCATCAGTACTACAGACTGGTTGTTTTCTCACACATTTTTCAGGGCCAAAGAGATGCGACAGCTGATCCTTCCGTCCACAAGTCCTAGCTCTCTCTTCATCACTTAGGGCACAACAAGAGAAAGAAAGCTTTCTGCCTCTCCTTCCTCTTACTGCTTTAAGACATTTCTTCTAACAAGAAAGGTAAAACACAACAAAAGCAAAATCTTAATAGGTTGGATACATCTTTTTACCTGTAAGAAATCTTGGGCCTGAGTTAAATTGTTACAACATCCAACAGGCCCATCTGCTCATACTGTTGCCTCTTTTGTGCAAATTGTTACCCTACCAAATATGTTAGTCTCTTAATAAATTACAAAAACAATCAGGGTTACACCTGATTTACAGGTATAAGAGTTATGGTGTGTGATCTACTAGACACTGCCCAAATATAGTGACTTTTGATCTGTAAAAAGTCAAACTTTGCTGTAATAAACACACTTGATAACAAAATAAACCAGCACTTCAAAAGCATCAACCCTGCTTGAAGATATTACACACCAATAATCATAGATTCTAGCATGAACAATTAAAACACAATTTACTCAATAATTACATTGAAGCATCAGTCATTATGCCTCCAAACACCAGAACAGTCTGTAACACCCGCAGGAAATATTTTTAAAAGAAAGAGAAGACACAGAAAAGGAAATGTTCCTTTCAGAGATAATACATTTTCCCAGTTGTGTTCTCAGATGGATCAGAATTTTCTGAGAATAAAACAAGGACACTCACTTATTTGTAATACTCCATTGATTCAACCTCCCAAAGACATTTGTATGCCATGTTTCAAACCAAATGATTTCAATTTTTAAGCAATGCTTGCACAAAGCATTAAGTACAATTAAACGTAATAGTCTCCTCAGAAAGCTCAGTGGGGAAAACAGAACCAAAGAGGTTCAGCAAAAAGTTAAACATTCTGTTTTAGACATCAAGTTTTAACTGAAATTCATACTCTTTACAAAGTTACCAGAAAAAAAAATACTGTAGATTTAGTGGGGACACATGATTAGGAGCCTGCACAGGTGGAGCAGGTCACTAGTGTAGCTCCCTGGAGCAGCAGGGCTCACCGATTTTTCTCTAATGACACAGACGGACTACGTCCAGCCCAACAACATTTACATCACTGTTGTGCAGCAGCAGGATAATTGATTAACGGTAAAATCAACAAATTTCATTCGTGAAATAAGATGGATGCAGGTTTGGAAGAGATGAGGAAACACACATGAAATGTAATTCATAAAGAACTAGAACCAAAGAGGAAAAATGACTGCCAAAGTTCTGCAAACCGGAGTTCTGAGAGGGAGAGACAAACTGGCGCCAAATTATCCACAGAATCAGAGTCATCTCGGGCAGGAAGTGAGAAGTTTAAAATTCAAAAGTTAAGTTGCTAGTTTAGCGGAACCCTGCTTATTTTGTTTGTAGGCTGTATTCCTGCAACAAATTTTTAATAACAGTTAAGACAGGCTGGATCATATGCTGCCTGAAAGACACTACTGGATACCTCTTCCCAGTGTGATAATGAATGGAATTAATACCTTCTCTTTTTGGTACACATTGAAAAACCACCCCAAGCTTGTGGAGATTGCATTTCAATTACTTCTCCGCGGTATTCAGCTGAGGGTATCACGCGGGATGGACGCTCTCTGAATCAGGCGACACTTCAGAGTTTTTCCCTACACCACGGGGCCAAGCCCCGCCAGCAGCAGAGAGATGTAAATTGTTTTCCTTAGAAGTCTGCACTGGTTGTTTGGCCACATCCCCACACCTTCCACACGTTCAGTTTAAGGCTGATCAGCGCATTCACACGGTGCATTCTCTGTCCGCTCGGTCCGCAGTTCTCTCCCGCCCGCTTTCCCTTTCCTAACGCTGACCCTGAAACGGGGCACTGCGAGTCCCTCGGGATCCTCACCGGCCTCAGAGAAGCTCTGACACCCCTGCCTTGCAATGATCAACCCCCTGCTCACTTCCACCAGGGAGGGGGCACAGGGAAGGTCTGACCCAGCTTAACCCCGCCGAGGGGAACAACCGGCACCGGGAGCCAGCACGGCAGCGCGGAGCCGCCCGGTCCCGCCTCAGCCCGCCGGGGGCACGGGAGGTCCCTGTCCCAGGGGAGCCCGGTGTGCGGGGCAGCGTCCCCTCTGCGGGGATCGCGCTGCCCGGAGCGGAGTTTGCCGCACTCCCACCCCGCTGCGCCGCCGGGGGCCGGGCTGGCGCCGGGAGCCCTCGGGGGGCCGGCTGCTCCCTCCCTCCCTCCCTGCCCGCTTTACCTTGGCGGGCGGGCGGGCTCCGGAGGCTGCGAGGAGCTCTGCGGGACCCGGATCGGCTCGGCTCGGCTCGGCTCGGAGGTCCGGAGGGAAGTGGGAGCCCCGCCGTGCTCGCAGCGCCGCCCTCCGCCCCCGGGCCTGTCAGAGGCGGCGAACGCTGCCCTGCCCGCGTCCCCCGGGCAAGCCCCGGCCGGACCGAGCAGCCCAGCCCGACCCGGCCCAGCCCGGCCCGTCCCAGTCCGGCCCAGCCCAGCCCAGCCTGCCCCAGTCCTGTCCAGCCCAGCCCAGTCCTGTCCAGCCCAGCCTGCCCCAGTCCTGTCCAGCCCAGCTCGGCCCTGTCCAGTCCGGCCCAGCCCGGCCCGGCCCGGCCCCTGCGCTCCCCTCCCGCGGCCGGGAGCTCCGGGCCGCCCCAGCCGGGCGCTCTCGGCTGGACAGCGCTGTCAGGCGCTCTCGGGTTTTCAAACAGAATTGTGGTTTTTTCCCCGCTTCCTTTAGTGCCATTACATCTTCTATAACGTGCAACGCAGCAAACTGCTTTCATGGCATTTTTTTGTACCACTTCGTGCCTTTGGAAAAGGCTGCCTTGAAGGGTACTTATATTTTATTCACGGAGCAGGAGTGATTTTATAACACGTTATATTCCATAAAAAGTTGAAGAGGGAAAAAAATAATCGAGACGTTTCCATCTGAAGTTAAAAAAGCAAGCGTCAGAAAATTCAGTGTGGCCTTAGAAGAGTTGATGTCACCAAGTTTAAGAGAGATTTTGAGTACTGTAAGCTATGTGCAAATAGAACCCTCTCTTGATTTAAAATCCTGGTTTTGGCACCTATAACTTTGCCAAAGCAATGGTTTTAGCAGTTTTTTTTTCTTCTATATCTAAAGCACTGACAGTAAAGTAGTGAAAAAATGTGAAGGTGTCACCATCGCCTCCTTCTGTTAGTTTAGAGAAGTCACCAGATAGTTCAGCTTAGTCTCGTGTTTATTGGCAATTTGTATTAAAATTCCAGATTTTGCTCCAAAGTAGCCATGAAATCCTGAGTTTCATTCCTCCAACACTTGCTGGAGATGGAATGATTATAGCAGAAGGATGGAAGCATTTTAAACTACCACCATGTTTTGCACAGCAAATATATTTCAATGCTTTAAGGGGTAATTGCTTTGAAAAAATCCAGCTGAGACAGCTCGGCCATATTTAAGAATGCATTTAGGAAATAGTGCATTGTTCTTCTTATGTTGTTAAAAAAAACCTAACGAATTATTTCACTGACAAGCTGGCTAAAATTTACCAGAGTCTTTAGTGAGGTCAGAGCTTCATTTTTGACCAGGCACATGAAAATTAGCTAACAACATTTGCAAAATCATGGACATAGTTATTAAACAGTTTTTAGTTGAGGAACTTGGGAGTCTGAGATTCCATGGACACTGCATATTGTCTTTGCTGATTTTATTTGCAAATAATTTTGATTTTTGGTATCATGGTGTCAAGGAAAGATGTAATTTCAAAAGAAATTACATTGGCATTTTTTTTAATTTATCCCAAAGTCAATTTTTAAATAAGCACTTAGCACTGAACACTCTGCATGTATTAAGGATTTATATTGGATGGTGCATTTTGTTGTCAGAAAATATATTTTCAGTCCTACCAGTAACACGGTCACACCCTGATAACACTACTATTGGTTTCACACTTATTTTGCTGTTGTTAAATACATAAACAAAATATTTGTTAAGATCATGTAGGAAACATCTATTCTGCTTGTACAAAGCAGCCTTTGTTTGCTCTGTCTCTAGATTTGTTCCTGTCCTCTCCAAGTATCCTGAAAAAGGCTGAGAGAGCTGAATGGCAGTATTTGCATATATCTGCAATATATTTGCATATATTTTGCAGCTCTCCAAAGCTCACCTGGCATTGCCTGTAAGAGGAACAATGGAGATAAGAACAGCACACCTCTAGAAAGCAAAGTAAAATAACAGAAATCCCAGAAAATCTTGAGTGCTATCTATGAAGTTTTTGGTCTGTGTTCAGGAGCATGACAATTGTGCTCCAGTGGGATGGGTGGAGGCCATCACATATTCATAAGGAAGAAATGTGGGAAATGCTACAGCAGCTACAGCAGATACAGACTTCGTGTGTTCTAGTGTTAGAGAGAAACAATTTTGTGAGAAGAGGAGGTGGAAATAAGTAAAACTTCCTAATTTGTTTCTGTCAGATGAAATGAATGTGCAGCAGAATAATTCCCCTGAATTCCAGCCCTACATTCTGCCTACTCTCCTCCAGAAGCTTTTAATTTTCTAATGGGAAGAGGAGATGTGCACTCCACCCAGGTTACAGTTGGGCGTTTCTCAGCAGTTGCATGACTCAAGATCTAATCCTTGCAGTTAGAAATGGTTGTTTTCCTTCTCTTATCTTGGCTGAATAGATCACTGGGTAGATATGCTGTCATTACACACCCGTTGCTGAGGAAGGAAGAAGAGAGCTTTCTTAACCTCTCCAGTCTTTTTGGATTGCATGTCCTAGTTAATGCTTCTATAAAGCTGCAGATAATTTAGAATTAAAGCAGAATATCTGTTTTTTAAAGGGAATAAATATATATATTTCTAGTATTAGGAAACCAGCATTTCATTGGAAAAAAAACCCCCAACATTTTACCATAAATGTGCTCCCTTAAATTTTATTGAGATTACTTTATACACTGATAATAATCACCTGACTTTGTAGAGACTGACCTTAATTTTCTCTACAGGGTAAATGAGACACTACATTAAGCTCTTACCTGCCCAGAGTAACGCAGGCTCAACCCATAGCCCTCAGGGTTATGAATGGACAGGGTGCAGATATGTTAAATATTGCCAAGCCATTGTGCTCCTGGCCAAGATTAAAAAAGTGAAAATCAATGCAATTAATTAGAACTTTTGTCATAGCAAAACATAGAGAATGCAATTGCAATTGAAAGGGTTGTTTGTTTTGGGGTTATTCAAACAAAATAACTTTCAGGTGGGAGAATGGAAGATTTGATCACAGAGGACAAAGGCATAGATACAAGCTACAAAACAGGATTAAAAATATGTGTTTAAGGCAAGTGATATCTAAAGGCTGGAGTATCCTCTTTTCAAGTAGTACCATGCAGATACTGAAAATCTTTGGTACAATGACTGGATGATCCTCTAGGGTACATCGGATAAGTTCTTTCATCAAGACACTTTTTTTCCAGAAAACTTTAAGAGACTGCAATTAGTGAGAAGTGACTCACATCACCACAGCAGACTGTAATGTCAGAGCATTCTGGAAAAATGTTTGGCATCTTCTTAAATGGCCAAAAGTAAAAAGTATATGTATAAGGAAGTAGCAATGACAGGTTTTATGTTCTTCCAATATATATTAATTCTATTTAAGGGTGGGTTTAATTTGTGATTGTGCAATACGACAGAAGAACTGTAAACCCTAAAACTTCCTTACAAGAAAGATGGAAAGCTCTCATTTAAGAGCCTATATGAAGAAAATTCCAAAAGCAACATTTAAAAGGTCACAGTAAATCAAATTGAAGTACAACTGCATTGTATACAGAAGCTAATTAACAAGAACATCATATAAAGTTCTTTAAAATTATAGCAAATTAAGAAGGAGAAACACAGTGTGCTAAAGAGAACCATGACCCTTTTGCCCATCTTCTCTTCCATCCTTTTGAAGACATCTTTCAGCAAATCAGAACTAAAAAATAGAATTATTTCTCCACTACTCTTAAGAGGAAAGCATTGCTTCTTACAGTGGAAAACCAAAAGCAAAACAAACCAGTATCTTAACCTGGATGAAAAGCTGAAGAAGATGTTTTAATATGTTAGCAGTGAAGCTGGCAAACTCACACTTTTAACAGCAGGAAATTAGAAGTACTTCTGGAAAGTCTATTATCAAAGCTTACTTACTAGAATTCTATCCATTATCATAATTTTAAGATGTATTTCCATTTTTTTTTTTTTTCTGTGTAGGATAGGGCCTTGACTTAGTCAATGGCTTCCATTTTTGCATGTAAAATATGTTTAGGAAGCTATTTAGATATACAGGATTTACAGGATTTGCTAAAATTTCTCTAAGGTCTTGATTAATAAGTCAGAGATGCCTGAGGGAGACTTTTTCACTGGACTCAATGAATTTTGGATCAGAGTCTAAGTTTTCCTGCTCTCACATACAAAAATCATTGTGTACATCCATATTTATTCTAACTATTCCTACATAGCAGATATCTATATATATCCCTTTCTGTTCCTTGTAGACATCTGTTCAAGTCAGCCCCCTTCTTCACTGTGAGAGCTGAGCATCTAACATAAATTGCAGCTGAGGCAGGAAAAGCCTGACTAACGCATCTCATTTATTACCTTTATTAATCTTATGATAAATGAAATCAGCTGCACCCTTAAAAGGAAACCTGTATATGTCGTGACATGGAATATTGAAATCTCATCTAACTTGTTCCGAATTATACTTGTTATTAACTAGAAAATTGTAACCTGAGGGTCTTCATTTGAAAATGGCAGCATTTATTATTGACATAATTTCTTTAGCTGTACGAAATAGGCTTTTTGATATTGCTCAGAGCAATGTATGCAAAAGTTAGCTTAATGAGAAGTATCATTTTAAACTGAGCATTTGATTTTACGAATGTTGTATGTTAGATTTCACATGTATGACAAACATGAGTATGAAATTAGTAAGGTTTTGAAGCTTCTTGCTGAAGTAAATATAAGGTACTTGAAGACAAAAGAAGAGAGAATTATCTTACTTTATTAATAGAAAGAAATTAATTATATATTTTACTAACTTAAAGCTATTGAACCCTTTCCTTACTCACTTCTTTCCTCTGGGATTTATTTCCCTATGCACTTTTCTTTTCTGATTGTTAAAATGTTGTAAGCATGGTTTATACAGGTAGAATGTTCTTTTGAAGTTTCGTCAGTTCAAAGGTGGATGTGTTAGTTTGTGTGAGAGCAAGCATGGAAATTGGTCCTCTGGTCATACCAGTTTAAACTTTCACCTTTTTAAAATAAAGTTTATGTGTTTTCCGTTACCTGCTACATGTTGACTGTTTCATTACATTCACATGAATATTGAATATTCCCCCATTTCCTGGAGGCCCAGAAAAAGCCTTTGGAACACTTAATAGTCTTCTTTTGACAACAACAATTGTTGTTGCACACAACTTAATAACTTTATTTTGAGATTTTTTTTCTGTTGTTCAGGGT